ATCATTTAGCAAGAATCATCAATGAGAATATACAGGGGTTCAAAAAAATTAAATTCCCTTAAAATCAATGACCCAATGAAGAAATGGGCAAATGAAATGAATTGAGCTTTTTCTAAGGAAGCAGTACAAATGGTGAAAAGGAAAAAATCATGAAGAAATGCTCAACATCTCTGGGCATAAGGAAATGCAAATCAAAACCATGCTAAGATTCTACCTTACTCTTTTTAGAATGGCTGATATCAAGAACACAAATAAAAAATGCTGGGGAAGGCATGAGAAAACTGAACCCTCTTACAATGTTGGTGGGAATGTAAATTAGTACAACCACTATGGAAAACTGTGTGGAGGCACCTCAAAAAATGAAACATTGAATGCCATATGATCCAACAATACCACTCTTTAAGGATATGCCCAAGGGAATGTAAATCAGGTTACAATAATGACAACTGCACACACATTTTTATTGCAGCATTATTCACAATAGCCAAGCTATGGAAACAGCTAAAATGTCACACAACAGATGAATTGATTAAGGAAATGTGGTATTTATATACAATGAAATTTTATTAAGCCATAAGGAAGAATGAAATTTTGTTGTTTGCAGGTAAATGTATGGAATTGAATTACATCATTTTATGTTATGAAAACAAAAGGCTATATGTTTCCTCGCATATGTAGAACATAGTCCCAAAAGAATTATAAGCATATATATACATGCTCTATTTACATAAGCATATATATATATACACATATATATATATACATAGAGAGAGAGAGAGAGAGAGAGAGAGAGAGAGAGAGAGAAAGAGAAATACAAAATCATGAATACAAAAGTTGGAATGGTAGAGGAGATCAAGGGAGGAGACAAAGAAGGAAAGAAAACTAGCAAACAATAATGAAATAGGTCACACTTGTATAAGAACAAGACACAGGAAACATGCTGAAAACTGTTAAAGAATGGCTAGGTGGAAAACAGCACAGAATTACACTGGAGGGTATTTACATTGATGAACAATGTATGTACAGGCAAAAATGCCACTGACCAATGAGCAGACATCGGAACAATGAAGGACGAGAATGAAAACAGGTCACACTAAGGGGAGTACACTAACAGATAGGGGAGATTTAAAAGAAGGATGTAAAGAAGATGGATATGGCTGTAAGCTTGGCTCAAGCAGTAGAGTGCTTGCCTTGCAATCAAGAGGCCTGAGTCCAAACCTCAGTATCACCAAAATAAAATAAAAACAGTTCATTGAAGAAAGGGAACATGGGTAATGTAGTTTCTGTGGAATCTTTAATATAGAATTTTTAAACCTGTTGAACTCACCATAAGAAGAAGACTAAGATAGAAAGAAGAAAAATGGAGATGATAAACAAATTTGGGATGCAATACATATATTCTTGGAAATACTACATACTCTCTGTACTCTATACTATGCTCTTTATACTATAGCTATACTCTGTATAGATATCTTAAGCAAACAAAAATATCTTTTTTTTTCCCTCAAAAGTCAAGGTCCAGTCTGGGAGTTGGTATCATAGGGAGTTGGAAGGAACAGGACAGGATGTAGGAGGTGAATATGGTGGAAATACTATGTACTCATGTATGAAAATGGAAAAATGAGAACTTTTTAATCCAGTTTGCCAAACAGTGTCTTTTGATGGGGAAGTTGAGTCCGTTGACATTCAGTGTTAATATTGATAGGTATGTGGTGATTCCTGTCATTTAGTTGTTTTTGTTGTTTAAGGGTTAAATTGTGTTCAACTGAATCAATGTTATTCTCTGATTCTTTGTCTTTTCTTCTCCTGTGTTTTGATACTGCCTGTCCTCTCATGGTTTTATTTGCTTTCATTTTCTGTTTGTTTGTTTGTTTTGGTGGTACTGGGGTTTGAACTCTGGACTCACCCTTGCTAAGCGGGTACTCTACCACTTGAGCCACTCCACCAGCCCTGCTTTCATTTTCTGTGTGCAGAAGTCCTTAGAGAATCTTTAAGGTCTCCTGATACATGTAGCTTCCATTTTCCAGTAAATAAGACTTCACTTACTTGCTGCATAATTTCTGCCATAAGGAAAGTCTGTTGTCACTCTGAATTGAAGATGGGAGTCCATATCTTGGAATGATCACTTTTAGCAGAACCATTGTTGTCGATAAACTACCCCCAAAATCTATAGGAGCATATCTACTAAGAAAATCTGAGTAAATTCTATGAAATATTCTATTTTTATATCTATCACATTCAGGTGATGATATTGTATTTAATATGTACTTTCCATGTTTATGCATTTCTATAAATTGGGCTTTGTTGATGCTATATATATAATATATGCAATATCTTGCTGAAGAAATGCCATATTGCTCTCCTATATGAAGAGAGATTTCTTATCCTTTCATCCTTATAAGTGTTTAATACTGTAAATATCTCTAATTTTGCTAATATGATAGGCAGTAAGTGATATTTTTATTCAATGTTCATTTCTCTGATTACTAATGAATTGGACCATCCCTTAGCATACTTGTTAGCTTTGTGTATTTATCAGTTGAAATTGATGTCTGAGTAATTCTAGATATTAGTCATTTATTGGCTTCAAACATTGAAAATATCTTTCTCATTCTATTATCTCTTGCCTTTATCATTGGTGTCTTTCATTTAAAAAAAAGCTTAATCATATCAGAAAAAAATTTCTGTACACATGTATGTAAATGGGTAACTGAGATCTGTTGAAACTATTGAGGAATGAGGGGAGGGGAGATAAAGGAGACTAATGTAGGGGGTGAATTCAACTATGATAAAATGTAAGAAATTTTGTAAATGTCACAATGAATCACCAGTACAACAATAATAAAAATAAAGTATCAAAAAACAAGAAGAAATATTAACCCCTACACCCCTAGTCCTACTGGAGGTGGAAGGGCTTTTAAAGGAAAGCCCTGGAGCATGGGCTTCAGGATGTATATGCTGTGGTATAACTTTTGGCCAGATTTAGACTAGGGTTTATTTAGTTCCAGATGTGCTACTTTGAATCTCTAGAGTTACATGCTTTTTTGTCCTAGACGTTCCTTCATTTGCTGATGTGGTGGATGTTCTTTCATTCACATGGCCAGTGAGATACTGAGAGGAGCATGATAACTTTGCCTGGAGATGTAGAAGACATTCTTAATTTCTCTCACATAGTGAAATGGTGGGGAGGCAAATAGGCCAATGAGAAAGAAGAGAAAACTGGTTTTTTTAAACTTAGGTACCTGAAAATAGACTGATCGAAAAAGTGAGTTATTTATCTAAAACTACAATTGTCAGCATAATTAGGTATCTATTATTAACAAAAGAATTACTAAGCAGGGTATAAAAAGCAAGGCCAAATCAGATCAAGTTGGGCTAACTGCAAACTCTGCTCCTTAAGCTTGAAAGCATGTTTAACTCCTCACAAATGTTTTTCATATGCCTTTCTTTACTAATTTTTTCCACAAAATCTATAAGGTAAAGTTAATGATGCCTCAGAATAAACAATCATCATGAGATAAACATGCATTATGTTTTAACAGTGTTAGATTCCTAAAAAATATGAAAAGGATAAAGGAATAGAAAAAAATACCTTTAAAAGCAATCTATAGTATACAGACATATTAATGAATGATGCAAATGAACAATATAACATAAAACAAAATCTAAAATGTTTATTTGGAAAGATTTTTCTCTTCAGTGTGAAGGATTCATATTAATTTCTAGACTATCTAGTTACATTAAAATATTGAACCATCTGTTCTTTTTATACAAAATGAGGCCAAGTTGTGCTGAACTGTTTCTCACCAAAACCAAAAGATTTACCTGAATCTATTTTTCTCCTTGTGTTGACTTTCACTATGCTCCACTAATGCTTTCTTTTTTTCTCTAACTATTCATCTCTCCATTTTGCCTGACCATGCACCCAAGCATGGCAGACAGAAAATGCAAGAGACCCAAGACTCTGTAATGACTGTTTCAAGGAGGAAGAAACTACCATAATTGCTACAATGATTTTATTTGTTAAAGAAGAGAGAAAGTAACTTAATGCTTCTCAAAGATGAAGGAGCCAGATGGTGGGATTTCTACATGGCCCAAGTAGCCAGGGGCTCAAATGGTAGGCAAAAGAATTGGGACCAATGTCTAGATGAGGTAAAGTTTGCCATCAGCTGGATCTTGAATCTCTTTGATGTTTGCTTCTAATGTGCAGAGTCCATTTCTCTAAGTGTTGTGGTTCTGAAAAGAGCATCCCTGCTTCTGAAACTTCACAGGGAGTATCATCCACACTAGTAAGACTGCAAAATTCGGGCTTGCCCAAGAAACAATTCTATAATAAAGTGGGAGAAAAGGAGAGAAGAAGAAGTGCGAGTCCAACCTAGCCCAGGTCCAGTCCAGGCCAAGACAGGAGAAACTAAAAGAGAATAACCTTGTAACATATCATTCCTACAGGGAGCACTCAATGAACTTCACTTACTCTTCAACCAAGTTACAAAAAGAACTCTTTAATATTTTCCATCTCTAATTTCACTAGTCAGAGAAATTGAAATAGTCTCAGAAATGTTATAACTCCTAAACCTTCCTCTCCAAGGATTTCCTTCCTCTCCAAGGATATTAACTGTATATGTAGTATATAGTTATGTTATAATACCTATTGGAATGTGAAATATACAAATTATGGATATCTTTATTAATGAACATGTATAAAAAACATTGAAATGATGTCTCTAACAGGGGAAAGAGGGTCTATCATGTCTCTTTCAGGATTTTACCTCCTATGTGTCAGCCATTTAGATGCTGCTATAGCTCTCCTGTTATTCTCTCAAACCAATCCCATTTTACAGTTGGAAATCTGATCTTGCTATTGGCTACTTCATAAACTGCCTATTTTATGACATCATTCTCCCACTAGACCTACTGCTACCTGGTAGATTCTTGGGGTTTCCATGGACTTGTCTGTAAACAGATTTGGATCAGTGACCAATGTCCTTCATACTAGACACATGAGCTGTTTGTCTTAAGCTACCCAGATATCTTCCAGTATCATCTCCTAATCTCTTATAACTGCACTTGATGTTAACTCTTCTCTGACAATGTCAGGTAAGGAAAGAAACTTAAAAAGAAACTTTTTTATATTAATAAAAAAATTAGATTTTCTCCACAACCCTAAAGTTAGTAGTAGAATGAAAACATCTTAAAATAATGGGGGAATGTATCAAACTAGAAATATGGAGACATAACTTCAGTTTTGGCTTTGACATTTACTAGGTATATGACTTTGGACAGACTGTTTACTCTATCACAAAAATGACTCATCATCTGCTTCAGAGGATAAAGGACTGCCAATGTTCTGTTCCTTGTCTCTTGTAATGTCAAATCTTAAAGGACATGCAAATGGTGAAATCAGAGTCTTCTTGAGAGTGTTAGTTTCTACAGAAGCAGAGAAGAACCTAGTCGGTATAAAAAATAGCACTGTATTCTGAGATGTTTCATTGAAAACAGTCTCCCTAAACTAATGTTTTCATAGTAGTATTTGAAATTTAATGCTGATCAGAAAGTAACATTCATGTGTCTTGGAGTTTTCTGTTTAAACTAGGCAAAAATGGAAAGAGGGAGACAAGAGGGAGAAGACTGGATTGTTAGAAGGGAAGATTTTCTAGAGAAAGAAAGTTTGGGATTGTTCACATTAAGCATAGACTGACAGGAACTGGAGACAGTGAAGAAAATATAAAAATGAGAGAAGAGAAAACATAAGAATGAAGAAATGGGGAGCAGGGAGGTATCATCAAGAAAGAAGACATGGTTAGATCAAAAAGAATTAACCTAGAAGGTAACACACACACACAGGAAATCAATGTGAGTCAATGTCCTGTATAGCTATCCTTATCTCAACCAGCAAAAACCCTTGTTCCTTCCTATTATTGCTTATACTCTCTCTACAACAAAATTAGAAATAAGGGCAAAATAGTTTCTGCTGGGTATTGAGGTGGTGGGGGGAGAGGGAGGGTGGAGTGGGTGGTAAGGGAGGGGGTTGGGGCAGGGGGGAGAAATGACCCAATCCTTGTATGCACATATGAATAATAAAAGAAAAAAAAAAGAAAGAAGACATGGTTTGGGAAAGAATGTTAAGGAGAAACTATGATTTTTAAATTAACACACAAAAAGCAATTAGTGAAATCCATTCAGAGCAAAGCAAATGAAATCGATTTCAGCCAATACTTGTATTAATGGACTGGGAAGGTAATTAAGTGAAGAATAGGGTAACACTAATAACAGCAGTTTATCAGAGAAGTCACCTTCGTATTTTTTCTATTGACTCTGGACCCAGATGACTTGACAACTTTGAGTATGAACATTTTTAGAAATATATCTTAGAAATGGTTCTTCCTATAAATGTGCTAAGAAAAAGGATTATAGAGAAGGGTGATATAATAGAATTTTCAAATTAAAAATCAAAAAATCTCTCTGATTTTTAAAATACATGGATTTTAAAAAATCATGTATTGTTTATCTTGAGGGTAGACAATAACCCTTTAAATTTGCTACCTGGTCTGTGTTGTAAGGGAACTGTATGAAATGGCATATGACCTTCACAAACAAGGTGAGACAGTGAAATTAAAATTGGTAATAACATACTTCTACTTTCCTCCCTCCCTTCTTGACTCCCTCCTTCCCACCCTCCCTCCATACCTCCCTCCCTCCCTTCCTTCTTTTCTTCCTTTGTCTCTTTCTTTCTAGGCAGGGCTAGGGATTGAATTTAGGACTTCATGCTTGCTAACCAGGCAATATATTTGCTTCAGCCACATCACCAGCCTTTTAGCTATTTATTTATTTGTTATTTATTTATTTATTTATTGTTGTACTGGAGTTTGAACTCAGGGCCTACACCTTGAGCCACTCCACTAGCCCTTTTTTGTCATGGGTTTTTTCAAGAAAGGGTCTCTTGAACTATTTGCCCATGCTGGCTTCTAATCACAATCCTCTTGATCTCTACTTCCTGAGTAGCTAGGATTACAGGTGTAATCTTTTGCAGCACTACTTATTTTTGAGACAGGGTCTTACTTTTTGCCTATTCTGGCCTGGGCTGTGATCCTCCTATTTTATGCTTCCCACCACAGCTGGGATGATAAGCATATGCAACCACACCCAGCAATTGGTTGAGATGGGGTCTAGTTAACTTTTATAGCCTTGGCTGGCCTTGAATCACAATTTTTCCAATGTCACCCTCCCAAGTAAATAGGATTACATTCTCAGGTCACTGCCCAGCTAGTGATGCTAGAAGAAGAACAAAAAGCATATAAATTCTATTTCTCCCAGTTTCTGGTACTGACACCAGGGAGATTTTTTTTGGCAGTACTGGAATTTGAACTCAGCACCTCACACTTGCTAGGCAGGTGCTCTACCACGTGGGCCACTCCACCAGCCATTTTTTGTGTTAGATATTTTGGAGATAGGGTCTTATGAACTATTTTATGAGAAGCTGGCTTTGAACTGCCATCCTCCTGATTTCTGTTTTTGGAGTAGCTAAGATTACAAGTGTGAGCCACCGGTGTCCAGTACCAAGGAGATAGTGATGGCCGAACTTGAACAAGCCAATCTTACCTCTCTGACCCTCAACTTCTTCACTAGTAAAATGATAACGTTAGAAGTTCTCTAAGGATATCCTAGGTCTAACATGCTTCCATTCTAGGACAAAGCTATGAGTTTATACTAGTTCAGATTCAAGGGAAAGAGAGTATAAAGAAGGCTGCTTCTATCCCAGGGAACAATATAGGAACCAGACCATTTTGGTGTTCTGTGTCCAAGTTGAGAGAAAAGGCTGTGCATCAGATGAGTTCCAAACAGCTTCATCAGTTCAGCTATCCTAAAAGGTTTGAAACTTGGTACCTCAGTGAGCATTGGTATTAGAGGATTCCTGATTACAACAACCTTGAGATAATACTGTTCCCCAAATAAAGTGAAGGTATGTTAATATCACCAATTTTCATCACCTTCTTTCATCCTAGAGAATTTCCAAAACCCATCTATACTTGGAACTACAAATTCTCTCCAGCTTTCACCTCCTGTGGTGAGCAATGACACTTCCCTAACAGGAAGCAACTGCAACTTCTCCAGAGTCTCTGGTCCACCTGTCACATCAGCATGGCTACTGCCATCAGCCTCTGACACTCTTTCCAGCCACTCATGAATAATGCCTACCTATTCCAACATTCTAGCACAACCATGTTGTCTGAAGTTACTGACCAGAGCCAGACCTCTACTTCAGCTGCCCCCTATCCAGGTATTTTTGAGTGGGATGTCACAGGAAGCACTAAAAAGAAGTTACCTTCAGTTGAGGACTTTACTGTGACACTCATTGACCAGGACACAGCAATTTCTTCTATGACTGTGACAACTCATTATGACAAAACTCTAGATGCAAATACGGTGGTCCCCCTGAATCCATCATTGTCTGCCAACTTTGTTCAAGGGACACCATCTCAGACTCCAAATCAAGGACATAGCCTGTCACTTCCCTACCAGGAAGGAAGCCAGGTCTTTTACTATAATCAAAACACATTGGAACCTGTGTTATCTGGAGAACTTGGCCCCTGCTTGCAATCCTATGACTCTGTTTCATACACAGGGAGTAGGGCCTCTGCCCCACAACCAGAAATAGTGATGGTGTTAAAGGAGGTTCAGCCTACAAACATCCTGACACCAATTTCCACCTCTGGAATCTACTACTCTGTGGCTTGTCATCCCAACACAGAAATGAGTTTTCAAGGTGAGTAAAAACATCAAAAATGGGAAAGGAATAAAATTAGCATTCAAAAGTACAGTCAAATCTGTAGCTGAGTAGTGTTTAGTCCACACATATGTAGAGTTTAAGTTCTCAGATTTCAACCACTGTTCTCACTCAGCACTCTTCATTTTAATATTTCATATAAGGTAGAGGGCTGGGGTCATGGCTCAAGTGATAAGGTGCCTGTCTAGAAAGTGTGGGGCTCTGAGTTCAAATCTCAGTATTGCCAAAACCAAACAAATAAAAGTTGAGTTGCAGAACACTGTACTGACCATCCATGCTACATTTAAGAGTTCCCCAGAAACACCATGAGGCCTCACCTTTCACTGCCCTGGCCAAACCCTCACATAGTAATTAATTCCCTTCCCTGATCTATTGCTTTAGTGTATTTGGAAAACAATTCAAAATATTACATCGTAGTAAGTTTAATTTTATTTAATTTCCGTATGTTCAGAGATTCTGTCCAAAGTGCTTGGACACAAAATATGTCCTTTTTAAGGTATTTCATGAGAAAGAACTCTACTTTCTCTATAGCTTATGCTTTAACATATCCTTATACTCACAAAGAAGGCAGAAAATTGAGAGTATTCTCTATGAGAATGCTAGTCTTTATAAAACTTTTAAAAAAATTTTTATGGTGCTTGCGATTGAAGCCAAGGTCAAGAGCAGAGTGGACAAGAATTCTACTACCAAGCTACAGTCCAAGCAAAAACATTTCACATTTTAAAAATCACTTTCACTTTTATTTGACTTACAACTTTCCTATGAAATACAAAAAAATTTCATCAAAGGACCAGCAGTAGCAACTGTAGCAGTCACTACCTACCTCCTAACACAGGGTACTTTCCATGTTCCTTAAAAATAACCAATAAAAATGCCTTGCCAACTGTTGGCAGGGGCTTGGTTTCTGTGTTAGTGTGCAGACAGGAACATCTCACTTACCAGGAACTGACTACTTCCTTGATTTCTTTTTAGTGATGGAAACTTCCATGGAGATGGAGACTTCCCAAGGTTTGCAACCTCCAAGCAAGACATTTTGTCTTTCACAAACTCCAGAATTCCTCACATCCTGCAGCAGCATAAATGCTCAGATACTTGAGAATGACCCACCTCTTGATCCTGGAAACACTACAATAGCTCCAGTCCGAAGTTCTACCAATATCTTGGCTTTGCCACCAGCTCCAAATCAGGGACAAACAGAAAATGGGAATTTGTGTGAAATTAAAACCAAACTTTCAAAGCCTCTGGATGCCTACCAGATCCCAGTAGAAAGTCAAGATCCTCTGTTATTCCCTTTAGAAATCCCTGACACTCACCAGCTTCTGACCTGCATCAATCCTTTGGGGCAAGAGGGAAGCCTGATTCTGAAAATGTTAATTTAGTAAAGAATACCCTAAGTCTTGACGGCCAAGGGACACTTGAAAATGGGATCATGTTTAGCAATGGTTTTGCAGATATTGCTGCACTGGTGGAAGATAATCACCTTCCACCCATTTTCCACTCTTTAACAGATCTTGACCAATCCAAAGTTCCCACAGCCATCAAAGCCAAAGACATGAGAGTCATTGAGGTGAATCAGGTGCAGAAAAAGTCAAGTGTCAGAAAGGGTCCCACTGACCAAATCAGAAAGAAGAAAGATAAAGCCTCTGAGCCTATTGATGGAGCTCCTAAGGCCAAACTTCAGCGCCAGAACCCACAGTGCCTGCTGGAGGGAGAAGTGGTTGTGTGCAGTGCTGCATCCAGTGACAGGCCTCTTGTGAACACAACCAAGCATTCTACTAGCAAACCTCTGAAAGCTGCATCCAGCAGGACCAGCAAAGCTAAAGGCTATGGGCAGGAAAAGATCGAAATGTCCAGAGAAAACAACAAGATTGCTGAAGAAAATAAGCAGACAGGGAACAAGGTGAAGTCAGAGGAGAAAACAATTCCCAAGATGAAGTGGAAGAGAAATCAACCTGAGCTTAGCCAGGAGACCTTTAAAAAGCCTCGAACCTACCTAGGCATGCACATGTTGCAGTCAGTGCAGGTTTTTCATGCACTGGGGAAGAAGAATGATAAGAAAATTGGATCATCTTCCTGTCAGCCCCTGGGAAATTCAAGCACCAGCAAAGGCTCCCAGTTTTCTCCAGTTATTAAATCACAGCTGGATACTCCACATGAGGGGAAATGTCCTAAGAAAACTCAAGCCAAAGCCCAGAAACAAGATAACAGTGCTGCCAATGAATATCCATCTCCATCCCAGTATGAGCTGCCCCTACCTGGGAAGGTCAAGTTGGTACCTTTACCATTTCCAACTCTGGACAAGCCTCAACCTTGACCTGTTCCTCAGGGGCCACAGTCTCTTAGCTCACATAAGTCCACTGCATCTTATCCTGTTAGGCCTCATGCTAACTCAGCTCAATCTATGGCAGTCAATGCATCTCAACCAGCTAGTGCCAATAATCTTTGATGGGGCCTGCCAAACCAGCTTGGCCAATTTCAATCAATGCAACCTTACCGGCTTTGACCAAGCATCCCAGACCTTGTGTATCTCAGTCTGGTGCTGCTGGTCCTGCACTCTACAAAACATCATCTTGCACTTCTTTCCTGCGGGACCCTGTTTCCACTACTATGACCAAGTTCCAGCTACCACCTAAGCTTCAAACCCAATTTCTACTCCAAGATTTCAGCTTTCAACCAATACCATGGAGGAAGCCCAATGTTCCTGAGCCAGTAATGTCAAGCCCCATCACAAAAGAGCAGCAGCCAGAATGTGAGGCCATGAAAAGGAAGGCTCAGCAAGAGCGTGAGCATGCAGCCAAATACACTTCTTTGGGAAAAGTGCAGTTTTTCATTGAGAGGGAAAAAGAAATGGAAATTTCTCAATACTATGGCTATGTGATGTAAGAGTTGCTAAGATTGTTGGTATCACTTCAGGTATCAAATGGTTTTCACATCTATTTCTAGACATAGATGTGAAAACATACAGTTAAGTATATAAAATTATATAAATAAAATATAAAGATTTCTCTATTCTTATGTGTTTTAAAAACTTAAAAATATGAAATACAATTAATAGAAGAGCAATAAAGAGGTCTTTGGAGTTTTGAGATGTTGTTACCTGTGGTTTTCTTTGGTAGAGCTGGGGACTAAAGTCTACCTTAGAAAGAGGAACTGAAATTTGGGAAGGAACAGGGGGAAAAAAGGATAAGAAGTGAGGAAAGAGAAGGAATATGGTCCAGGACTAGAAGCGTCTGAAGAGGAGAGATTATATGGGCTTATAAGAAGAACCAGGAATTGGGTAAAATGACAAATTTGAGGCTAGAGTTAAAAGAATAAAATTTCTAAAAAGTTGAAAATGACAGAAGATGAGTCTAAGTTGTCCAGAAGAAATGGCAAAAAAAATAAATCTCTCATGGAGAA